TATTCATTCATCTGTTGGTGGACTTTTGGGGTTTTATACTTTTGGGATATTGTGAATAGTGGTACTATGAACATTTATGTGTAAGCATTGTTTAAGTACCTGTTTCCAATTTTGAGTATATACTAAGAGTGATATTGCTGGGTCATATAGTAGTTACTATGTGTTTAACTTTTTGCAGAGCCGCCATACTGTTTTCCATAGTGGCTGTACTATTTTACATTCCTACTATCAGTGCACAAATGTTCCAATTTTTCCACACCTCACCAACACTTGTTATTTTCTGTGGTTTTCTTTATAATAGTCATCCTAAAGGGTGTGAAGTGGTATCTCTCTCGTGGTTTTGATTTGCATTTTCCTGATTAGCGTAGATGAAAAAGGGGCCATGTACCAAACCTGACAAACTCAGGAGAGAACAGTATGGTGGGCTTTGCAAACTCAGAGACCCAAAGTAACCAACCACATAGGATAGTCTGAACATAAAAATTGCTAACTAACAGCGGGTTATGCTGGTAGGCATGTCCTAGACCTGTGGCTTCCTTGACAGAGGTCAGTCTTCCTTGACAAAGTGAGCCTGTCGTCTTTTTGCATCTAAAATAACATACCTCTGTAATGTCAGAGTAATGTCTGTTCCAGACCCCCGAGGGCACACCCACTGCACCGGAGCAGGAGACCAGAGAACCCATCATTATCTCACTTTCTGAATACCATCTCTATGTACTGTAAATATTAATTATTAATGATCCTGTACCCACCTATATAAAAGAGATTTGTCTCGCCTGGCTAGTGCGGCCAGGGGGGTAAGCATTGACCTATGAACCAGGAGTTCACAGTTTGATTCCTGATCAGGGCACATGCCCTGGTTGCCAGCTCAATCCCCAGTAAGGGGCATGCAGGAAGCAGCTGATCAATGATTCTCTCTCATCATTGATGTTTCTATCTCTCCCTCTCCATTCCTCTCTGAAATCAATACAAATTTTTTTTAAGTATGTCTCTCTGTTTTACTTTTTATTCAATTCCAGAGATTTCTCTATTTTGCTTTCTTCCTCCCCCTTAATCTACCACTGAAACTGGAAATGAAAGGGTCTGTGCTGCTTGCTGCTACCCGAGTCAATTAAGTAGAGACCGGGTTGAGTTGAGTCTTTATGATGCGTTTATTTAATCAGCCGACAATCTGAGAGAGCGGCAGATGTAACGTCCTGAAAAGACGCTCAAGTCAGTGTTATATAAGGCTAAAGGATGGAGGGTGGAAATCTAACAACTAAGTGAGTTCCCAGGGTCTGCTCTCTAGCATTGTCCTGAAAAGGTCAGCTCTCAACGTTTGTCTCTGTCCTTGGTCTGCTCTCAAAATGTATCTTCTTTCTGAGTGATGGGGCCACCTGGACTTCAAGGTCGATTTATCTTACGACCGTTTTCCTTTTTCACACTGCATTTGCAGGGACTGTAAGAAAACCTCTTACCTATAGTTAGTAAGGTGAATAATACTAAACAACAATGATTCTGTTCCTATTATGTGCCCCTCCCCTAACACCATTTCATGTAAACCTTCCTCTATTTCTTCCTTTATTTTATTCTAATGTATAAAATAATCTGCAAAACTGTCATTCTCTTCTATCCGTTGACAGTTTGCTTTCTGGAAATTGGCCTCAGATTGGTTCAAGTAAA